CCCTTTCCTATGGCACATATCCATCGCGGCTATACACATAGGAACAGAGGCAGCCCTATACCCAACGTGGCAAGCCCCATTTGCGCCAAAAAGGTAACCTCTAACTAGCTAGAAAAGGTCCTATTACTGAGCTAAAGTCAGAGCCATATGACTCTCCCGGTTGCACTGTCAGTCCCAGCTTTTGCCGACAGATAAGTCCTTATGGAGGGCCGGGAGCAATATGAACAAAGGTCATTTGCACTTTCGCCCTATGGAACAGTTGTTATAAATCATGTTACTCACTTTGTTCCATAGTATCATTCATCAACAGGTATATCAAGTTCAGTTAGAGCACTAGCAATCTACCCATATGCATTTAACCCATAGGAGACAAGGAACAGGATAAACAATCACTAGGATGTCCTTACGGGTATCAAAATTAGACACATGCAAATGAGTAATTGATTAAAGTGAAATAGGACATCGAGGAGGGCCCATGTTATACTTGCCTTGGTTCACAAACTCGTGCTGGTCCTGCTGGTCGTCGAAGAGTTCTTGGTCTCCAACATTTTCCTCACCGTCTGAACGCGACCAACACGGCAACATACAACATTCCAAAACCATTCATGCAAAGCAAACATTCCTATCATTAGAATAGTACACCAACAGTATTGAAATCAAGATAAAATGTTTGTAAAACTAATCTACGTTTCGCTACGATCACGTCAACGCGAAGTTCACGAAAAACGGAGCTAAAATACGAAAGTTATGATTAAAACGGGTTTTCCTATAGCCCTATATTTAATTAAATCTAATCATGAAATTAAAAAGTTCCAAACTTGACTAACAGTAGCTCCAACATGTAGCTTATGAAATTACGAAGCTAACGCGATTTGAATGGATCAATTCGGAGCTAAAACGACAATTTTATAAGCGAAACAGTTCAAATGGCATTTATGTAAATACTGAAAGCGTACTTTTGACTTAAGCCGTGGAGTTTACGCTTTCTAATCGAGATTTCGCATTCCAGGAAATACGTTTTGGGCTGTGGGTTAAGACTTAGAAAAGTCCAGGGGCTCTTATGCAAAATCACCCACGAAGGGGTATCTTCTATTCCTGGCCGTTGATCTCGCGATGGGCGGCTAGGATCGGCCTGGGGGTTGGCCGGCCGGAACAGTAACACCGGCAGCCAGGCGCCATGGCCGGCGGCGTGAAGGACTCGGTCGCGCGCAGATTAGGGTCTACGGTTCACCAAATTGACCACCGAGGGCACCCGTGAGCTCGGGGGGAGAAGGGGGTCGCGGCCATGCCGTTTTGGCGGCCGGGAACGGCGGCAAGCGCGGTGGCCGCCATGGCCGGCGACCATGGCCCGCGGAGCTCGCGGCCAAGGCTCGGGAAGCCAACAAAAACGAGAAAAAGAGATACCGGGAGATAGAGGGGAGGACGGCGAAACTCACCAAGGGGGAAATGGAGACGGAGGCGGCTCGGAGGAGGCTGTCCGCGCGGTGGGGCGGTCGACGGAGCTCGGAGACCTCGGGGCGACGGTTGCGGCCTTCCTCGGTGCTCGGCAAGCGCAAAAACGAGAGCGGGGAGCAGCAGGGAGGGGCGGAGACGGCTCGGGGCCGATTTAAAGCGGCCGGGGCGCGATGGGGGCACGCTCCCACGACGCGGAGTGGGGCGGTTGCGGCATGCGGCCAGGCCGGGCGGTTCCGAGGAGCGCGGGGGTGAAGACGGCGCCGACAAGCGGGCCTCGGCGGTCAGCGGCTGAGCGCGGGGCGTGGGCGGTTGCCTGGTGCGGGCGCAGGCGCGGCTGCTGGGCTGAGCGGGGAAGGGGAGAGGAGGGGCGAACGGGCCGCGGTTGCCAGGGAAATGGCCTGCGGGCTGAAACCAAGGAAGGGGAAGATGATCATTTTCACTTTTTATTTTCCAAACAAATTTTCCCAAAAGCATTTTCAAATAATTTTTGATTTCATTTGAACTCTAATTCAAGAACAATCATCACATGAATAAATAGTGCAGCAGCATGTATGCATCAAAAGTTTCAAAACTTATAATTGATTTTTAATTCCCCAAAAATTATTAATTTCCTATAATTGAATGCACACTTAATAACATAATTAAATCAAAATTACTTATTTTAAAGAATGAAAATTTTTGGGTGTTACAATTTGCATTCGACGCGCCTGCCGGATCCAGGAGCCACGGTGGATGTCGACGACCTGCGAGTACAGCTGTTGCGGAAGACAACGTCGACGTCAACAACCCTTTGGATGCTGATGATGACGAGATCTTTACGAACGCTGCAATCCCGGTAATTTTTCAGAACCCTGCACAGTTTGGTTTCAGTTTGATTGTTACCGTCTTCGTAATATATGTTCGTATTCTTGTTATGCATCATTTAGGATAGAGTCGACAGGGGAAATTGGTCAGAAGAAAATACAGGCAAACTGTGTGAGATTTGGGTTGACCAAATCACTAAAGGTAACTGTGTGAATGGTGTAATGAAAAGTCAGGGATGAGGGAGGTCATAGCAAGGTACTATATTGCAACAAATTTGGTTCATGATAGAACCCAGATTGGTAATAGGATTAGGGAATTGAAGGGATATTGGCAATTTATACAAAGGCCCCGTTCGCTTCGCTGAAAAAACAAGCGAAACACTGTTCCGGCTGATTTGTTGTGAGAGAAAAAGATTGTTCCGGCTGAAAAAATAAGCTAAAAAAGACGGATTATTAGATAAGCGAACAGGGCCAAAGACTGCACAATGACACTGGCTTAGGCCGTAAATATGATGGAACTGTTGATGCCACTGAAAAATGGTGGGAAGACAACACTAAGGTAATTGCCAATATTTCTGTTTTTCTATTTATGTCTAGAAATCTCTTCCCTTGCTCACTAAAATAAGCTCTGTAGGGCCACCCAGACCGAAAGAAATGCAAGAATGGGTGGCCAGGTTACATCAATGAACTGGACCAAATGTTCCATGGTGTTGTTTTTGTTGGATGACCTGGTTCAGTACATGACATGAGAGTGTTCAATGATGCTCTGACCAAGTATAGCCATGTATTTCCACATCCACCCACAGGTAAACACCTTGCTTCTGTTGCATTTGCAGCTTCTAGTTGAATTAGTTGAATCTTACAAAATTGATCCATTGTGTAGGAAAATTTTACTTGGTGGACTTCGGCTACTCCAATCGACTGGGTTACCTTGCGCCCTACAAGGGGACCAAGTACCATCTTTCGGAGTATCGAGACGGTCCGGAGCCACAAGGTAAAAAAGAGATCTTCAACTACGAACATTCATCTCTTAGAAATATTATCGAGAGGTCGTTTGGAGTTTTGAAAATGAAGTGGAGGATTTTGTTGCAAATGCCAAGTTATGCACCTCATAAGCAAAGCCAAATAATTGTTGCATGCATGGCACTACATAACTTCGTTAGAACGAGTGGAATAGTGGATAGGGATTTTGATCGTTGTGACCGTGATGAGAACTATGTTCCACCTGGAGCATCCTGCCCTCAGCCACGTACTAGTCAAACACCGGCAAGGGATGAATCTACGATGATGAATGCTTTCCGTGACTCGATTGCCCTTGGTTTGTTAAATAGATCATGACAATTCGAATGTGAGCTTGAAATGTAACATGTGTTTTGTTTTTTATAGTTGAGGACAATTGAATTGTGTACTTGATATATTCAATAATTATGTAATAAAGTGTAATTTTTTATGGTTCCTTAACAATGCCGGGCATGGCATCAAAGTGAGCTGCAGCAAGGGTGAGCAGCTCACCGAGCAACTCCGGCGACTAACACAAGGGCACCTGCATGGTGTCATGAACATGCATGGCTATGCATGCATTAATTAATGAAGCAAATCAACTATTAAATGAGGGCAAATCAGTCTTTTTTTCATATGGTGCTAACGTTTTGCTATGGATCTAAACACCTAAGTCTAAAGTTAGAATATTAAAACTTTTACATCAAAAATTTTGGTGCTAAAACTTTTGGCATGGCTGTTGTACTAACATAAAGAACAATAATGAAGTTCGCCTACTTTTATATATATACTACTTGTATTGAGGAATCTTTGACATGTAGACTTCGTTTAATATTTATTACTTGTCTCTGTCGGTAAGCGAACTATGCACTGATGCTGAAATTAGGCAAGCTTGCTTGTCTTCCTCCAGACCAACTCAAATTTTTACTGTTGGGACCCGATCGATGGCATTTTATGTTCGTTCCCATGTACAGTATATCAAGGTTCTTTTGCCCTACCTTGTCTTAATTAGTCGTCGCTGATGTGCACGTAAGATGGACATCATACGTACGTCAGATGTGTATATCTGCACGCTCCATTAATTATTACCGTATGTTTAGTTTCTTGCCCCCTTTGGTAAGCCAAATCAAAAAACCAATGACCCCGTTCGCTTGACTGAAAAATTATGACAGAAAGTATTATTGGTTGATTTGTTGTGAGAGAAAAACACTATTCTAACTAAAAAATAAGCTAAAAAGTACAGATTATAAAATAATGCAAATGCAGGCTATTTCACCGTGCCGTGAGGAGCCTTTTTGCATATAAAGGCGGCTAGCGTTTTTTATTTTTCTCTCCCAGTAGTGCACAACGCACATTCTTTAATTTAGGGCCGGTTTGAATAGACTAGGACTATCAACTAGTTCCGTTAATTCTTATAAGTAAACCGGTGAACTAATAACTAGTCCATAACCAGTGGACTGGCAATTAATCCACCTATTTAGATGCTTAGAGACTGTAAATTAGTCAGCTAGATGTTAGTTCTATGGATCAAACATGACCTTAACTATATGATACACTAATGATCCGGCCGTCGTTACGTTAATTACCATCCCGTCTCACCTAGGCCTCTCCTCCCTATAAATAAACCCCAATAGAGTGGCAACTGATGCGCTAGCTACTGCTAGACTACGTACTGGCAGCGGTAGGCCGGTAGCGGTAGAAAAATCTTTGTAGCAGGAAGTGGAGACCTTTGTAGCGGGAACTATGGACTTGTCTAGCGTGATCCGGCCGGCGCTTCACCGGATCACGTCCACCTTTGCTTCCACCAACAGCAGCTACGGCGGCTTCATCTCCCGCGTGCTCAGCTTCACCGGCTCCTTCAACGACCGGACCAGCCTGCTGCACGAGCACGACGCCGAGCTCGGGCCCACGCAGACGGAGGAGACCCGCTCCGCTCCTCCGCCGCCGCAAGCACCCGAGGCGGCGGCGCTTGCTGCTTCATCGGTCACGACCGCGGCCGGCCACCCGTTCGACATCGAGGCGGGGACGACGCCGCTGGCCCCCACCGGTACCGCCCCCGAAGGACCGGCGGAGGGCCAGGAGGAGCCCGCTGCCACCGAGGTCGACGCGGAGTCGAGGCGCGTGGGCAAGAGCGTCCAGACCGTGTGCCTCTTCGCCGCGTCCGCCTCGCTCGTGCTGTTCGCCAACCTCCCCAACAACAAGCAGCAGCCCGGCGGCGCCGCGCCGCCGGCGTCGGCGGCGGTGGGGCTGCACGGCGGAGGAGCCGCCGCCGCCACTCTGCTGTACAGCGCCGACATGGCGTTCATCAGCCTCGGCTTCTTCTCGAGCCTGGGCCTGTCCATGTTCTCGATCGTGGCGAGGCCCGGCGAGGCGGCGGTGGCAAGGGTGCAGAAGTGGGGGATGGTGGTGGCCGTGGCGTCCGTGGTCGTGGCCTTCTCGCTGCGCGTGTGCATGATGCTCGCTGCCGCTGCGTAGTTGGAGTGGAGGCTGGCCGCGTGCGCGTGCATGGGGGCATCTCCTCGCCGCGCCGGTGGTGCCGCGCGTGACGCTCGCTGGCTCGATCGACGTACCCGACCCGGGCGGCCGGCCGTCACTGCGCGGCGGTGCGCAGACCGAGGCTTGGAGCGGTTCGGACGACGACGTGTGGACTTGACCTTGACTTGGGCGGAGGAGCTAGGATGCATTATAGGAGTATTTTGGAGCCATCACAATTCACAGTTAATTCCTGTTTAACGATTTGTGTGCAGTATTGGTGAATCCGTGTACGCGTGTGTACATTGAGAATTCACGGCGGCTTGCGGGTCGATCGGCCGCCGGCGTGGTGTACAGAAACTCATGTGTTAATAACTTTCCAATTGGATGCACCTCCGATCCGCGCTCTCATCATCGATGAAGAAGCCCCGAAAGGCCGGCACACGTCGATTTCGCCATGCGCGCCGCGCCGCACATGCATATGTTCCCGGAACGGAATATGCCCAGCTCTCCGACCATCGCCATCGGTGCACGCATGCTTTTTGTTAGGGGTTAGAACATTCGGTGGATTATTCATGGAAACGTGCATGCTGTCCTCTCCCAGCTGCTCGCTTCGCTTGTGGTCAAACTTGAAAGCCTTGACCTCCCTTTTGTCTAAGAGCGCACAATGCACGTGGCTGACGTCTATCAGAACCAGACTATCACCTTATTCTCCAAACAGATCGACTAATAACCAAGAATAAGTGCTTGGTTTACAAGCTCAAATTTCCATTTGCTACAGTGTCACGCTCAGTCTCACACCACGGCCGGAAGCAAGAGCAGGGGTTGCTTTGACGGCGTGCGCGGTGGGCTCGGAACCCATAAGCTGGCCATCCTGTCATGTCGATGGTTGGCGGCTGGCGCGTGAGAGGCCGTGTGCCTTGCGTCCGTGGAACGAAGAGCAGGGTAGACATGCACACAGCACGACAACCACTTCAGAGCTGTCCGCCAGTCTGCTGCAGACGTACGCCGACGCCGACCATTTCACCGTCACCGATCAGTTTAGTAACCCATCCCCGTCGTACGTGCTCGGTGCTCCTAGTTTGATTTTGGAGGCTAAGTAGGGGGCCTGTTAAAGTTGCTTTGATAACCTTAAAACACCTTTGAGTTTTATTAGTTGTCGAAGATATGTGGTGGAATCTATCTGCCGATGAAACCAGTCAGAAAAAAAAAATCTATCCATCCAATTTTAGATGAATTGGCTAGCACATATATTTTATATTGCATATAGATTATATATTGAAAAAGAAAAGGAACAGGTAACGGTGAAAAGAAGAACGAGTTGCTGGGCTTCAACCAAAGATTATGGCCCAGCAACAAGCAATGCCAGCAGGTGGATGTCCCGCCGCGCCCATCTCTAAACCGGCGTTGATGCTTGACCATGGTATTGGACACGTCGCCGCCAAATTTCGAGGCGGATGCACAGAGGCGCAGCGCAGCCCACTGCCTGCCTCCCTCTTTCCCTCCAATATCTTCTCGTCGCCGATCTGAATATATCGGATGAATCATATTTGATGTAATCTGGATCAGATATGCAGCATAGAAGTTAGATCGAACTTCGATCTCCAAAATATGTCGTTTTCCATACATCAATGAGAAATAGCAACTCTGTAAAAGTATGTTCCTTGTAAATAGCTACAACTCTGCTAACAGAAACCCTACTTCAAATGGGAAAAATTCCTGATACATATCAAACACCAACAACAACACTAACTCACCCATGAGAATTCCTGCCGCAACAACATCATCTTATTTCCCTCCCATGATCAAATGTTAGCGGACCGGGAACTGCCACAAGAGAAGGCCGCAATTTGCTCTGCCAACCTGGGCAGCCAGCCGCAAGGTGCAATTTCTCCAAAAAAACCTGCCCCCATGTCTGATGAGCCCTTAGTACATGGGACCTTTGTTAAAGTCTGTGGCATTACTATTTTACAACTAGAAACTTTGGTGGATCTCTACAAACCCCTTGCCCACGATTTAGAAAGCAGAAACCTGGCTAAAAATGAGCAGGTTGTCCAGCTGGAGCCACGTCATCCAGGCATTTGCATGATGATTTAGTTCGGAAAGTTGCTGAGGACAAACAGCACTGCAAGTTAGGGAATCATTGGATCACCAGATGAAACTGTGTGCATATGTGTGTCCCTCCCGTTAGGTTCCATGGGAGAATCCATGCCTGGTGGACCTGAGATTGATAATTTATCAAATATAAGATAAGAGCAGATGCAGGATGTGATCAAAATAGAGGTTACATGTCACTGGCAGAAGTATGTTACCGAATATCGAACCAATGGAAGGCCTTGTTCGAGATGAATTCCTTTGCAGATCTGCATGAATTTATAGTTTCAGTCTTTCAGTTCAGAAGTAACATTAGAGCATAATGTCCATTTAGATGCCATTGACACCTAGGCATGTAAATACTGGTAATTCAATGGAACATTATTAAGGTTTCTGAAAAAATGACTGCTTGCAAAATTCAACACGCAACTTCTTGATAAGTACCAATGTCATAAGGATTAAGGAGACAAACCTGAAATTTTTATTGCTTTCACTGCATCAAAGTTTTTGTATGTATACCCCACAAAGCTAAGATCTTTGGAGTTTAGCATCATCTGGATTTGTTCCATAAAAGATACATAAGGTTGAGAATGCAAAGGGAAAAAAATAGATGTATATGTCTAAGACGAAATGAACATAAATTCTACTAAGACAGGCAGGTGATTTTAAATTTGAGGTAACTGGTGCAAAAAAACATTTCTAAATAGCAGCTTATATAACCATTGTTAGGCAACGGATTAATCCTATACCTTACAGCAGTAATCCTAGTATGATCTACTGTTTTGTACTTCTACAATACGTAAGAATACGGATAGTCCAGTATAAACACTATCCACCTAATTTTCTCATGACAGCTTGTATCAACATGAATAGAGGGTGTGAGACAATCATAATCTGATGAAAAATAAACTCAGGAAAACAGTTACACGGCACACTAGCAAGCTGGAATGCAAAAAAATGATGAACTTTAGAGCTTCAGTGTTTTTTTACGCTAGTTTCTGAATCTGAATGTACAAGCATACCTTTCTTGAAGGCCCAGAGCCTGATTTGGCTGGAGGATTTTCCAACTGCCACAGAGAATAATGAAAGTAAGTTGGAGAAACATGATTCATGAGCTAACAACAAAAATATACAAGAAAGTAAAAAAATAGTGCCAAGCTCAAAAAGAAGAAACTTTGGCATCCATATAGTCAAGCACATATGAACAAAAACATAGTTACACACAGCCTCGTACATGAAAATATTTAAATGTTCCTTGAAGATGGAATAAAATGCAAGAAAATCAATCAAATAATACCAGCGGCCTCTTTCAATTAATTACTTGCCATATTCTGAAGGCAATAGTTTGTTGATTGACAAAGTTTACAGTTTGAAGAATCCAAAGCAGGAACAAGAGTAATCCTATCACTGTAGCTTCAGATTGACTTAAGTGTACAATTTAAAGAATTGTAGAGCAGTAAAAAAAATTAAGTGCAAAGTGATTCACTTACTTCCTCAAATTTCATGAAATTCTGTGTATCCAGTTCATCATTTACTTGAGGCTTAAATGCTGCTTCCATTTCATAAAGTTTATCCCATGCAACTCCTCGGAACCAAGGATGTGCCTAATTGTAAAGGAGAACATTTAGTAAACATAGCAAAAACACAGTAAACAAGACATTAACTATATAAGTTAAAAAAAATCTGTGACAGGCACTACCTTTATTTGATCTGCCCCTGCACTGCCAATCCTGTGGTCAACATCACATAATAACCGACAAATGAGATCTCTTGCTTCATTTGACAACTTTGCATCCTCAGGAAATTTCAAATGGTTTCTCCAGTGCACAATCTAGAAAAATGGGAAAAAAGATATCAGTGCAACACTCTAAAAAAAGGCAGGATAAGCTTGCAATTATTCATGAGGCTGATGTGCAAGAATGGTAAACATGTTGTATATCCCTACAATGGAAGACAACAAAGAAAAACACCACTCAGATTTCTTTATTTTTTATGAATCATATCTGATTATGAGGTCAAAAGAACCATGTCAGTTCTATCATAGGCTATTGAATCTATGCATAAATTTTCAGTTTAGCAGAATGATACAGTGCTGTTTAGTAGTATGCATCAAAATCTATCTTGCATTCATTACATATTTCCAAGAAACTGCAGAAAACATCATTTATGGCTGAGATTTGCAACTTCGATAAGTTGTCATGAATGTTAATATTACTGGGACTTGATTTTCCTAATGACCCAGCTTGAAGCTAACCTATTAGACAATATCCATAAACTGATTGGGTAGACTAAGCTCTATAAGATGCAGGTATGCAGTGGCTGTAATTAGGTATCACCTCACAGCATCAGCTAAAAAGACTAAGAAATAAAGCAGTTTTCTGTGCTAACTTAGCCTTATTTTGATGACAAGCCTATAAGCTACACTAAGCCAAATACTTCCTCCGTTCCAAATTATAAGTCGCTTTGACTTTTTTGGTACATTCATTTTGCTATGCATCTAGATATAATAATATGTCAAGATACATAGCAAAATGGATGAACCAAAAAAGTCAAAATGGCTTAAAATTTGGAATGGAGGGAGTAACATTCAGCAAACTATATATTAAGAAGATAAAATGATAGAACTGAACCAAAGAAACACCAATGAAAAACAAACCTTTCGGCATGTAGTTATTGGATCATCAGCGTAAAATGGTGGATACCCAACTAGCATCTCATACATGATCGCGCCCAGAGACCACCTGGGAATAAAACAGAGAACAATTAATACCAGTTATTAAAATTGAAGACACATATAAGCGCCTCGACATTAACTAGATTATATAAACATTATTCCAATAAAGTTACCAATCGCATTCCATTCCATATCCCTTCTTTAGCAGAACCTCTGGAGCAATATAATCCGGTGTCCCAACAGTTGAGAATGCCTGCATAAACATAAATTCAAAGTAAGAAAAGCTAATAAGAAGCAATCATGTTGTACATTGTACATAAAGAGTATCAATTCTCTTCCTGGTAAGGATCGCTACGAGATATTATCCAAGCAAAATAAAAATCATAAAGATTGATGCAATCCCCAATAGGTAAACTGTACATATGTATACCAGTTTTCTCCTGTTCGTCTGCCAGTGTTGAAGCTGTTCGTGCTGACTTCTCCATCTTCTACCATTTGCTGTATCCGACGAAGAACTATCAATATCCATTGATTCCCTCAAGTTGTCATCACCCATGGGTTCATCTTCATTCAAAGTTGAGAGCTTCGAACAATCAATTGGCTTGCACAGCCCAAAATCTGACAGCTTCATGTGACCATTCTTATCTAGAAGCAAATTATCAGGCTTAATATCTCTGCAATGAAAACAAACCAAATATATAAATCAGCAAAATGGTAGAACCACAATACATTAGGTGCCTTTAAACAAAGATATGTAACCTGTGGATGTAGTTATGTTTATGGATGGATTCAATAGCAAGAATTGTCTCAGCAATGTAGAATCGCGCCACATGTTCAGTCAAGGTATCCTCTCTCATGAGAAGGGTCATGATATCACCACCAGGGAGGTACTCCATAATAAGGTAAAGGTACTCGGTGTCTTGGAAAGAATAGTAAAGCTTCACAATGCAGTGACTAGCAACTTCTGCCAACAAGTTTCTTTCAGCTCTAACATGTTCCACCTAATAGAGATAATAACAAAGAACTCCATTAACTCAACTCTCGAATAATGGACACCAATTATTCTTTTATGGTCATTTGAAAAACATCAGAGTAATTTTGATTTCATCGCAAACAATGCAGCAGGGGCTTGATTAGTCAATTTTTAAATGGTCTCTTGAAAAACATCAGAGTGATTCTGATAAAAAGAGCTTTCATCGCAAACAAAACAGCAGGGCCTTTAATAGCAAACATCAGGTCCTAAATGGTTAGATCTCAAGCTAGTAAATTTTCTTTAGCAGACTGATCTAAAGCATTGTCAAGGCAAATTTCTAAGGAGAGATTTTGACAACTATGATGCAGCACTTCATATGTGATTTTATTAAACATAATAGAATTGAACAACAATGACAGGTTCATCTGAGAAACATTTGCGGGGTTCATCCAAATAAAATCAAGTCTTCGCCTGATCTCAAACAAAGTTCATGGTCACTGAATTAAGATAATGAAAAACATGTCAACTAAATGGATAATTCAGAAAAAATCCTCTGGATGGTAAAATATAGCGACTAAGATAGAGCTCAGAAAAATTGACCCTTGCAGCACTAGTGCTTTCAATTTCATGGTTCTCTCACACATCATTTTATAGCTATATCAACAAAAAGAAGTTCAAACAGTTATAAATTAATGTTTTTGATGAGAGAAACAATGGGATGTGGGCTTCGCTTACGCAGGAAACTAACCTAAATGACGCATTATTTATTCTACTGATTCATTATTTCACTGTCTGTTGGTTGTCAGAGATAGGATACAAGTATACTAAATGAAAAGGAACTCACAGAATAGAAAAGGCACTTTCACATAATATTTTCAATCAGGTATGTAGATGAAACATAAACCAGTCAATAGAGCCATTATAACTCCAAAACAGAAATCGAAAATAGCCAGAAATGCAAGCTATCTTACTTGGCCCCTGACAACCATATCAGACTTCTTGAGTTTTTTCATTGCATAAATGTTGCCAGAGGTCTTCTCTCGACACAATCGAACCTGTCATATACATTATGAACAGCACAAAATTACTCAGTAATAAGTTATTAAAGGTAAATGCAACAGTTGTCACATCTCAAAGAGAACATGTCTTGCTTTCCCTAGAGTTTAAGCATTTTTGGACATAGAAAATTAGTGCAACTAACTGACTTCACTGTCATAAATAGTCACATAGGTACATGTGGAGAAGTATATGACAGAAATTCAGTCTGCAGACCTCTCCAAAAGCACCTCTCCCAATAATAGTAAGCAGTTCAAAGTCATCCACACAAATTTTGTGCCTTTTAAGTCGCATGTATTCAGTTTCCTTCCTCTCAAGATCTTTCATTAAATTGATTTGCTGCTCCTTGGGAACTTGAGAAGAGGCTAGCTGTCTCTCCAATCTAAAGCGCCTGCAATGCATTACATTTTGTAAGTGATAAGATGTGAATAAAAGATGCACCCTCTTCAAATAAAGGTCATAAACTCATGATCTCAGGGTAAAGGCAATCTGATTACAATAAATTGGAATGTCAAAGGATAAGGCCAACAAATAACAATATCACAATCAAGCACCATAGGTAGTAGGTCATAAATCAATGGCATGCTTAGTATAATAAAAGACCAATGTATGAAAAGTGTGCTCCATGATACATACTCCCTCCATTTCAGGAAACTTGATGTTTTAGCTCTTGGGCAAAAGATTTGGCACATATCAGCTTGAGATTGCAGTCTGCACATGCCTCCATGCATTTCTCTAATGAGGGGCTTATTCATTCATTAGCATGGCTTGGGTAATTTCCATTGAGCACTAATCTGTCCTAAAAATCCTAAAACATCAAGTTTTTTTTGGGCGGGAGTTAGTATATATGTATAGATAATAATTCTACTTCATTACATATCCATTTAATAGTTCAGGAATGTATTTATACAGCTGGCATCTGATGCATTGTTTCCATGTCAACAAAAAGGGAAACAGGGATCAACTATTCCCCTAGGTAAAAAAGGAAAGGTAAGCCAAAGTTGTAAATGTTGTGATGAACATTAATGAGTGATTGCCAAAAGACAATTTCTAGAATGATTAATAGAACAAGTGTGTTTTAAACAGTATGCATCATCATCCACTGCCTATTAATGGAAAGACCATGAGAAATGAGAATGCCCAAATAGTCCACTCTCAGTTCACAAGCAGCAGGAAACATGTTCTAGTTACACCGAAACTATCAGTCTGATTGTGATTTGAAACAAACACAAACAACTCCAACTACACACTATCAAACAAAAAATGGGGGGAAACAAAAGGAGCACGTCCGACAAACTTTTGCGTCACTTCAGCTCCTCTAGGTCAAAGGCAATCGCAGTGCTGCCACATGGGTTTTTGCTCAATTGTCATCTAACAAGCTTCTCAACAACAACACCCCAGGCACGCGGTGAGCCAAACAGCGGGGAGCACTAGAAGCTCAGCGTAACAGCTCTTAGCACAAAAAAAACTACTCCATGCAAGCAATTTGAACTAATTTTGCCTGATGTATTTAGCAGACGCTAAGCATTCAAAAACAGCTAGTGCAACAAGCTCGCCAGTCCTCCTCGTGCTGGAACTATCAATCATCCCTAAACCATGCGACGCGGACATCGGACCTCAAATTGCAGGCAGAGGTGTCTATAACGCTGCACTACACCACAGTAGTGCACTGAAACACCTACTGCATCACGCTACTCTAAAACTTCTGAAGTCATGGCCACCAGGCTACTAGTGCTAGTACACGGTGCCCAGCATTCCAGAAGCAAGCGGCCAAAAGCTGGCGCCGAAAATCAGCAGCCCGGACGGGCAAGCTCCGGCGGCGCGAGCTCGGACGACGGCCAACCCCAGCTCAGGCCCCTCGATCGAGCTCGCAGCGCGCGAGATCTAGCCCAGCCGCCCCCGCGCGCGAGCAAGCAGCAGCTCCAAATGGCGGCCGGCCGTGGCCGCGGGCGTGTGGTGGAGGAGATCGGATCAGCAGGGCCGGTACGGTTACCTCTCCTTGCGATCCTGGATGTTCTTCATCTGCGAGCGGTAGTGGTTCTCGATTAACTTCTTCGCGGCGGCGACGCGCTCCATGGTGAGGGTGGACCCCACCGCCTCGGCGGGCGCGTCCGCGTCCGCCCCCGCCTCCGCTTCCCCTTCCCCTTCCTCCGCCACCGCCGCGAGAGGCTCGGTGGCGGCGGGGATCGCCGCCGCGGCCGGCGCGTCCGCCATCTCGCTCTCCATCCCCCCACACCCCACACCACCCCCTGCACCGCTGGCAGTCCCGGTCTCTCTCTCTCTCTCTTCCCTCAGCGGGCAGCGGCTGTGTATTCTCTCTCTCTCCTTTTTGCCCCTCGGTGTCTGGGCCTCTGTCTATGGGGGGCGATGATGCTTGTCGCAAGCGCGCGCGCGGGCCGCTTATATACAGCGCAGGATCGCGTTAAACTAATCGGGTTTTTCGTGGTAGGTTAGAGGGAAAATATGAAATGGGGGAGAGCTAAGCCTGAGCGGCTGAGCGTAAGCGAGCTCGGTCCACGAATAGAAGAAGGCTGGACCGCTGGAGGCAGGCGCGCAAGTGGGTAGTACAGTTTCCAGCTGGAGTTATTTTTTTTCTTTTTTTAGTTTTTGTCTTTGCTTGCGCTGAGCGATCTCTTATGTCATGTCTGACGGTGTGCTCGTGTGGGCTGTGTTCGCCTGGCTGATCGCCGGCTGGCCAGCCACCTCATAAAATTACTATTTACGTTATGTCAGAATAGTATTTTTCTCTTACAACAATTAGTCGAAACAGTATTTTTCAGTCCTGCCGAACCGGCCCCACGGGCTGTGTTTAGGTATTTTGCACGTAAAAATTCTCAAAAATGCCTGTCGATCTCAGGAGCCGCACGCGCTTTGGAGTTTTCGATCCGATGAATGAATTGCGAATGGACACACGTCATGTGCTATGGTCTTCAAAACTATAAATTTTATGCATCTAAACACTTTATTTATATCACTCCAATACTAAAATACTTCATAAAATCGTGATATATATTTTTTAAAACTCTAAAAACACTTTGAATCAAACGAGACTTTTAGACTTGGACTTGGAGATTAACAGGATATGGGTTCTGGACCTGAAGCAGCATGGGCCGGGTCAAAGTTTTTCACGGTGTTGGTCGGGCACGTCCGCACGTGGTCCGTGGCCGGTGGCCTTCCCCGGTTCGCCTCTCTGAGCGTCATCATGTGTCCCGTTCGGCCGTGTCCAACACTGCACATGGGAAGCCCATGCATTGGCTGATCTCCCAGTAAAAATAATGGCGGTTTTCTTTTGTTTTCCTTTTTCAATGAGTGCGGTGAGAGTGAGTATGTAACCGACGCCCGGATATGTAGTTGCCATGATTATCGTATGATGGAAACCCTCGATTGTTTGCAGCAAGCAAGCAAAAAATGGCGGGATCGATCTCTGATCCTCTTGCAGAAACGGAAAGTGATAATTGTTACAAGCATGCTTCAGTAATTATCTCTTGCTCTATATATCTATCTATATCCACTTAGTATCCTCTTTGCCTGGCCGGCCATGCTGAATCTGGCACGAGCTTGAGAGCACCGGCACCGGTCCGCGATGATGGAGCTCGCCGACGGCGGCCGACGGGGCGCGTACGGGCCAGGTACGGCGCGGCAGATCGATGGCGTGCTGTCGTGTCGGTCGAGGCCACGTCGTTGTCGAACAGGGCCGGTAGCCTGCCTTTTTCATGGCTTCACTTCACGCGCTGCTTCACCTGCAGTCCTGCACGAATTGCTCGGAGCCGGATCCAGTCGGTCGATCGGTCACCGCTTGCGCTCGGCCATGATCGTACTAGTGGCATCGAAGCAACCCAGGCAGCAACCGCCGGCCGGGTTGACTTGCAGGTTCTGATGCTGACCACAACACGTCTGGATCTGCTGCCACCGAGATCGAGAGAAGTCAAGAGCCGGCCAGGAATCGCAGGGGGATTTCCCAGGTGTTTTTGTTTTCGTTGCGTTGCGTTTTCGACGAGCGACAGGGAGCAACAATTACAAGGAACCTATCGATAATGACATCGCCGCTCGCTAGCCGATACAAACAGTGCAGCACTCGCCACATATAAACTGTACTAGTAGAGTACGAGCAGGCAGTACTGTTTGGTTGCTCGATGGATCCGTATGACGCTGACACTGCGCCATGGCGTCGATCGGCTCGGCCACGGCACACCACACGCGTTCCGCACCAATCGGAGTCGGCGGTCCGGCCTCCGCCTCTCTTGTTCTCCCGGACAAGGACCGCGCGCCTTGGACGGATCCGGCGCCGATGGATATCGATCCATCAGGCAGGCTGGTTCGTCCTTGTCCGATAACCAGACGAGACGACGCTGCTGATGTGGTCCCGCGGAAGAATATTATCTCGTGCGGTGGCGCCGAGCCGAGATCTGCAGGCGAGCCGCGGGGCGGCATGCCATGTTGGCCGCGCGCCGGAGCAGGGGCAGCCGGGCAGGGGCGGCCAGCCTGGTGCGGGGGACGGGGTGGATCCGTCTGCCGCCCGCAGGCCGCAGGACAGGTGCGTGCGTGCCAGCCCAGCTCAGATGCCAGCACGAGGAAACGGGAATTTTTTACGCTACTATGATCTCTCTCAGCTGCCATGCCAGATCTCACAGGTCAGCGAGCTTAGCCTCTGTCTCCCCCTGCCTGTCATCCCTGCCTTGGATTCCGATCGATCCATCCGACGTGTTAAACTACTACAGACTGGTTTCTTGTTGGTCCAGATCGGCAGCGATGCTTTTGTCCTCGCTGCGCCGCCTGCCTGCTCGCGTGCGCGCGGCGATCTGCGTCCCGGATGTGCCATGTGTCGGGAAAGGAGGGAGCTGCGCTGTCACGCTCAGGTTCACACGCACGCATTTGCAGACTGTTGGGCTGGCTGGGAAAACAGTTGATGTTGATGCTGATGATTATTTATTGTGAGAGAAAAATACTATTATTTCGCTGAAACGGTATCCACACCCACTCTACGGGTAGAGATTTTTCTCTCTTAATATACCCGTGGAAAAAACGGTAGGGTGTCAGCCAGTCAGACTCTGGAACTTGCGGATCAGGTTCGTCTCCTCCCTTTGCGTATATATGCGGTGGGCTATACATGCTGCCGGGCGAGCGTTGACCCTCTGCTCCGAGGAAGAAGCCTAAATCGTCAGCTGTGTCCTGCGAATCGATCTTTCAAGTAAGCATCCCTTCGTCTTCTGATCTTTGCTTCCCCTTTAGGGCCCGTTCGGCAGGAGCCGGACCAGGTTTGGTTCCTACACCAGTTTTCAATACGGATGGCTCTGTTTCACCCGGAACTGGAACGGCCCGTTCCCAAGTAAACGAACGGAGCCTTACACCGGTTAAGACCGAACAAAAGGCCAGTTTGCGCGATCGACCCTGTGCTGAACTCTCTCATCCTCAGCGGCAAATCTCCTATAAGCCATGAGCATTGCCTTGATAGATCCAAGCAGCTGCTTATGTGTTAGGTGCTGCAATCACAAGAAATACAGAAGTTGATCTTAAACACCTGCAGATTTCGTTTAAATTGGTTACTAAATCTTTTTTAAAGGGATTCCTAAAATGAGTTAGAGCATTTCCACCGGATTAAACAAATATAATCTCATTTTTTTCCCACGGGTAGATTTAAAACTAGCAGCAAAGTAGATTTAAACCAAAAAAAAAACAGAGCTTCATCACATCCCGAACCTTTTTTTCTCAAAAAAAAAATCTTAATCTCAAAAGTCAAAACCTTCCCTCAATCCGGGCTACTTTGGCAGCCCGTTTCCCCGGGGGGATCCCCGCGTTTTCCCTGGGCTGTCTCCCCCGTGCCAATCTCCACCGGGCCAAATTTTTGCGCACTTTGGCAGCCCACCCATCCGAGGGTCGCAGCCCGCTTCCCTTCTTTTTCCACGCGGAAGGAATCCACGACTCGTGAGGCCGGGAGGGTTTCCCGTGGCGACCGCTCGCGAGCCGCGTAGCTTCCTCCGCTCGCGCAGGTCTTCTCGTCGCGACGCCGTCGCCGCCCCGGCATCCCGTCGAGTCGTCGACGCCGCCTTCTAAGCAATCCGTCACCGCCGCCACTCCGCCTTCTCATCGCTTCGGTCACGCCAACGGTGAGACCGCCTCATCCTACATCTCTGTGCCTCCCGCTAGGGTTTCGGATTTCTTGATCCGCTCTTCTCACAGACTGTCCCACTAGGGCGGTGAGGTGGCTGCATGGTGATTAGGGTTTTTTCGCGAGCAACAACGACATGGGAACCCGGAAGCTGGGCGCTCTAGGGAGCAGGTGCGAGATCTGAGGCGAGGGCGCTCGTCACCTCTGTGCTTTTCGCTGTTGCTTGATGTAAGGACTCCGCATACTCCCTCTCTGGGTATTTTATTTTTGTGCATCTGTATTGCGGGATTGGTTAGTGTCAGCATGAGATGGCAGTTTATTGAAAAAATACACTTGCATCTATAATATTGATTTTCACCATTAATTATGTCTTGATAGTGGTGCATTTATTTGGTGCTCTAGATGTTAATATATTTTTCCTAAAAACTGAGCTAGGCAAATTTGACCCTATGGTTTGCAAAAAGAGGGAGTAAGCGCAATTAAACCGCAAAGCCAACACACGTACCTAGGTTCTCGAATCAGAAGGATCTGAAGGATTATTGTCTAGTTTGTGCCATGGTTGTTAACTTTTACTCTCGCTGACACTGGTGTGCTGGTACTAAGTTGGAAGCGTAATTAGATCTTGCCTATGTGTTGTTCTTGCATATTGGTGATGTGTTGTTCTTGCATATGTGGTTTGGACTTGCTATATCAGTTATGTTAGATGCAAAAAATGCACCTGAGTCGCGCTACGCTTATTTAGTGTTTATTAGCACTGTCAGATCGCATAAATAACACATTCCGTGTTATCACGTGCTTGTAGCCTAGTACACTTGCAGTTCTACAAATATTCTACCTTGATCGGTTGGGAGTACAAAAAATATATTGTTTGCTAGTGGTGCCGAATTTCGCCTTGATATCTTGTGAACTATGCAAAGTAATGGAAAAAACAACAAGCTGAAACATGGTAAAAAAAAGTATAACTAAACAACAGTAATTAAGCAAAACAATTCAGCACTAACTAAAAATTCACGAACATTTTCATTCTCTTTTCATCAGTCAGTTGACCTCTGCTGCTGATACACTTGGTTGTAATGTGCATGATATTTTTTCAGTCCATGTGACAATT